AAGTAAACGTGCTAGTCCTCTTGCTTTTAGAATTTTGTTGTATCGATTTTTATTTTCTATTAAAATTGAGATCTACGAGAAAGAGTTTTTTAATTTTCCCTTTTTTTTTTTTTTTTTTTATATATGTATCTTTCTTTTTATTGATTGATTTTTTTTTTCGATTGGGCCAGGTTGTGTTTCAAACGTTTAGTCCAGGTCAATCGATATATGCTTTAGTCAAGATTGAGGCGATGGTGGCTGGGTGGCTGCAGATGTATCAGTAAAAGAATTCAGAATTCCATCTGCCGATTTTTTGTATTAGATTAACTGAACTCTGCACATGACGAGTTTAGTGATGCCTCCTGCATGAAAGCTGTGTCCTGCAACATCTTCTTGAGGCAAGAGTTGTCTAAGTTTTGCGATGAACTATCGTTTGGTGGCCCATGTGTCGTCTTCTTTGATGAATAATAAACTGCTGTTGCTGGTATATGTGGATTGTGTGCGAATAACAGCATATAATTTTAGTGCGCAAATTGGGCATAAGTCATCATTTGTGAGATTTATGATCAGAGACATTCGGTGGGCTGCTTTGTGATTTTTCGTCTGGGGAAGTTTGATTGTGGTGAAAGTGCTGTCATTGAATTTTCCAAATTTGAGGGCTTGAAGGGTAGGTACCTTGTGGGAGTCATGTTGGCTGTTAGGTAAAAGTTTTCCTAAGCGTGCAAGACTGTAAAATGCTGATAGGGCAACCACCCAGAAAAGAAGATCCAGATTGTTGTTTATATTAAGCTGTTTTCTAATTTGGGAAAGGTGTTGTCTGGTAATATGAGTCTTTTGATTGATAGGTTTGTGCATGTGAGTTGCTTCGATGGTTTTCAGAAGCTGTACAACTAAGAGGTCAGAGCGGGTTTGTGACCAGTCGTGATGATTTCTGGTGTGATGAAATTTTAGCACTGAAAGGTAGATTGTGATGGTTGGTGGTGCAACATTTTTGTGGAGGAAGGAGATGTATTTGATTAATGATTTAGTTGAAATCGGCCAAACTGATCCGTCATTGTTGATCTATTGATTGGATGTGGCAAGAGTTTTGTAACGTTTGATTATTGCTTCGTATGATCTGTTGGGGAGATTATTAATATTGAGAATTAGTGCTGCTTGTTTGTCAAGAGCAGGCCGAGTTGTAAAGCGGTTGGAGTTGTTAGTGCGAGATTGAAAGGGAATCGTGGTGACTAGGGGTTAAATATTGGACACTATTGTTTGAGAGAAGAGATGAAAGAGATTAGATTTTTGTACAAGTCAGAAATGTCAGGGTGAATATAATGGGATTGAGAGTTGTCTTTGATGAATTCTCGGTGACTGTTGCGGGAAAGTAGATCAGCATTAGTATTTTGGATGCCTGGAATGTGCTCAAGTTTTATAGCGCAGTTTTTCTGTATTTGTATGTTGTACAGTTGTGCTATCAGCTTATTGATATTCGAATTTCTGCAATAACCGGAGTAGTACGCTTCAGCATTTGGTAGGTTATCTGTCCAGATTATGAGTTTTCTTCTCTCCCAGAGGGGAGTGAAAATGCGTACCACAATTAAGGTGGTTAGGAGTTCTTGAAATTGAATGTTTATTTCATTTAGATCAATCTTTTTTGACTAGGAAAAGCCGGTGAAAAAATCCAGATATACCACGCCCCCTTCTATATTCAAAGCATCTGTAAGAGATTTAGAGTATTAGGGTGCCTCCATTCTATATCTTGCAGAAGGCGTATTCCTGACCAGTTGTTGATGGTAGCTAGCCATCACTGAAAATTGGCTTGCATAGATCTGGTTATTCAGATATGGGCTTTGGGTTGTTGAAGATGGTTTGTGCTTTTATGAGTTTTTGAACAAATGGGCGCCCTTGTGGGATTATTTGGCATATCTATACGAGAGACCTTACGATCGATTGAAGTTCTTTACTAAAACACCATTTTTTAACTAGCCATTGGTTTATTAGAATTACAAGTTTTTCTCTTTTATCAGGAGGTATTGAAGCCATCATAGCTTCTATGTCTAAAGTTATTCTCAAAAATGTAACCTTTGTGCCAGGGCCCTTCATTTTTTCTTGTTTGTAAGGTATATTAAGAATATTAAGGATTTGTATAAACTAATTGAGCTTACGTGATCTGTCTGACAAAGAGATGAGAAGGAAATCGTCTACATAGTGAATTGCTACCAGGATGCTTTGTTGATTTGCTATCCATGTGATTACGTTGGTGAAATGGCAGAAAATTTCTCCTGAAGCCCGGTTGCCGAAGGCTAGGACTTTGTCGAAGTAAATCTCGTTTCCAATACTGACTCCTTGTAAAATTTGGTCGATGGGGTGAACTGGGAGGATTCGATAAGCATCTTTTATGTCTATTTTAGATAAAGTACATCCTTTTCTGAAATGATTATTCTAGTAAATCGCATGGTTTACGTTTTCGTATTTTGTGCCGAATTCGAGCTTGTCTATTCTATCATTTATGCTGTTGTCTGGTGGCGAAGAAAGGTGAGAAATAATATGATAAGCTGTGGGGTTGGTGTGTTTCTTTTCAACAAGGCCACATAGGTTGGTCTGGAAAAAATCACAGGGTGGGTTGTCCTCATGGAAGGGCCCGCACATACAGCTGTTTTTAAGTTTGTTGGCAATATATGAAGCGAAAGCTTCAGGGGCAGTATTAATAGAGGGCAGGTTTCCTTGGATTAGCTTTATTCAGTTGCCTTTGAAGTTGAATCAAAAACCATGTCTTATGCCTTTGATTATGTATTCAATGAAGGGCCGATTGGGATGTGTGTCTGTAAGTATTCGTAGGGCTTTGAGATTGATAGGTGATTGAACGTTGAAGTGTTGTGGATTGAGTTGTGTTAGTAATCTCATTTCGATGTCTGTCATAGGAATTTCTGGGGGCGGAATTGTTTGAAGTGTCTCATTTACGGACTGTAAAACTGGTGGGCTGAATGCTGTGATGCGATGAGATAGGTTGAATTGGGCTGTGTGAGTACCCTGATCAGACACTGTCACTATATAGATTAACGATATTGAGGTAAGTATGTGTAATGTAAGTTGTGTTTGTCAAAGATCATTATGCGCTTTTTCTTCTTTGATTTTTTTTTTTTTTGAGTGCTGTTTGGTTGTGTTCATCCTTATGTGGTCTATGATCATTTGCTTCTTGATGCTAGAATGACTTCTGCTCTCCTTTTTCTCTCTCTCTTCTTCTTTCTCTTTTTTTTTTTTTTTTTTTATTTTTTTTATTTTTTATTTTTTATTTTTATTTTTTTTATTTTTTATTTTTTATTTTTTTTATATTTTTTATTTTTATTTTTTTATACCATCAGTGTTATTTATTTAAATATTTGTATGTGTAAGCAATGATAGTGTGAAATTTTACATAAAATTGAAATTTCTTTGATTGAGCATAGGTTCGCCTCCTCATAGTGCAGCATTTGGTCATACAGCGTACATATTGATATTGTTATGCCTATGTATGTATGTATTCATTATACTTGTGTTTGAATGTGCTTGTGCCATCTTCTTTCTTGTCTTTCATTATACGTTTCTCTCATTTTTCACTTATTATCATTATTATTATTCTTATTATTATTAGTTTTTCGTTTTCTTTTTTTTTTTTGTTATTATTGCTTGTTTTGCTTGTTTTTTTTTTTCGTAGTTTTAATTTTAATAATATTTTTTTTTTTTTTTTTTGGTATGCATGTGTATGTTGAGATGGCCGGCATGATTGCTTCGATGGATTATTCATTATGAAGCACTTATTTATTCTGGCTTGGTTGTCTGGGTGCTTGGGTGGACTAGGCTTGTTGTAATAACACCTTCATTCGGTGTGGCTGATTCTTTTGCATGTCAAACAGGCGTGCACTCATTTGCAATTGTTCTCTTCAGAACATCCTCTATGATTCTAATTAATGCAGATCTGTTTGCCGTCGTGCCAAGTGATGTCATTTTTGAAAGTGCGAGTCATGGTATAATTCTGGTATCTTTTTGTTGTGATAATATCGAAGTTGTCTCCTTCTGCTTCTATGTTCCGGTTGAGTAAGGTTGAATCTCTGTTTGTGGTGACAAAAAGCCTATGATCTTCATTATATGCTGCTACAGCATCGAATTCGGGTTTTACAAACAGAGCGTTAATGTGATCACAGTATGCATTTAGTTCATTTTCTCTAATGTCATAAATGATCAATACAGCCTCCATGTATGCTCTAAAAGCGAGAAGCCAATCAGCTATGTTATTGAATCTCTGGTAGCAACTGCATTTCTTGACCATAATGATTCTGCCTTCAGCAGTTTGTAAGATTTGTTCATTCTCATTGTTTTTTAAGTTAGCCTTGAGTGTTTTGTGTATAAATTCATGCAGGTCAGCGTAATTCCCAGTGGCAACCGTTTTCCACAATCGTGAAGGAAGGCTGGGTTTGTTAGGTAGCATTTCGATTGCTTTCTGGCCTTCATACCAGTTGAGAATCCACCAAAGATGAATTTGTTCCATACTTGTTGCATGTGGGTTGTTAAAACCACAGACTGGGGAAGATCAATGGAGCTATAGTCAAAAGATGGGCATCTTCATATAGTTACTTTAACCTTCAGAATACCATTTGTAGTAAAGGTGGTGCGTGCAGCTTCTTGGGTTGCACTGTGTGAATTGAAGCTAATTATGAAGTTATTGAGAATTGGAGTTAAAGGACAATTACCTTGTTGGTTTATATTATGAGTGTTATTATTTTTTTCGTAACTGTCAGGTTGTGTTAAATTGAATTTGTGATTATAAGTTGGCAGCGCAATGTTGCTATATTGAAGGTTAGTATTGCTGGGTTGTAAAGTTTGCTCTTTGTTGTTAAGTTGATTGAAGCATAGGTCTAGTTGTTCATTTAATTGACGATTCTCTAGTCAACTGAAGAATGATCATAGTAAAACATGACGCAGTTCTATATATAAATTACTATAG